ATAATTCATTAATTAATACACTATGGCCTAACTTTTTGTTTATTCAGAACAATTTAAAATATTTTAATTGAAATGAAAATTCCTTCAATAACAGATTCAAATTTTGAATCATATAGAAAAATTAAGGTATAATTTATGAAAATAATTTGTGATCTATAAACATTTATAGGTACTAGGCTACAGTGACGCCAAGTCTCAGTGTATACCGAATTATAACAATCACAGGTATTTACTACCTGAACAGTGTCTAAGTCCGAGAATATAACTGAGGAAGATGGTTGTGTCTGTATGTGATCCATCAGTATTGACCATGAACTGATAACCCAGCGGAGGGCTACCTCTGATATTTCTGTTAAATAACACTCTTTACTTGTAGATAGTGTGGAAAATTGCATTTATCTGTATGTATAATTATGTACATAACAATAAATGAACATAGATAATTGTTATTTATCAGTTAGACAAGTAGGAATTCGGGACACCTAGGTCGCAAAAATGGCACCCTTCGATACCTACCACTGTCATATCCACAAGTTGCTCTGGACCTATTAATTAAATGAATTATAACATCACCAGGAATTCTGGTAAATATATAAATTTGTGGACTGTATATTAAATTAAAAAATTATTATATATAAATACACATATACATAACAAGGAAAATATATCTTAATATCACTCACCAATTTGACTGGATATTAAGTTGTATCATACTCAGAAAAACCTCACTAACTAAATTTATGAAAACACTGGCCAGAATTATACACAAATCTAGAGAGCTTATCTGAGGTTTCTGGAGCTGTCTTGTCCAGTCGTCTGATATCTCAAGTTATGCAGGAATGCACATCCACCAATTTCGCCTCCTATTTGAGAGGTGTCAACACAATTTTAACCTCTAGAGCACGAAAAATTCTTCCCATTACACCAACGTTTGTAATCCAAATTCAAAACCAAGATGGCGAGTGTCTCTTCTTTCTTTCGATAACATACTTCTTTTAAAAATACAATATAGGGCATCTATTTACCTATAAATTACCGTATTTCCGGAAAATATATACAGTATTTTCTACAGATAGCTTAGTAATTATCTGATTGATCAGTTTCATATTATAATTTGTATGTTACTCGGGCACTGTGTCAAGAGGTTGGCTAGGCCATTTAAATGAAATTTAATTTTCATCAAACATTTGTATTTTCCCCACCACTATCATTCTGGCTTCCTTTATCCCCTCCCCCTCGTTGATATTATATTCATTGGGAAGTATAATCACCCATAGGGATCTTATAGCTGGTATAAGTACTAACCAACTATATAGGCTATCCATTTTAATTCTCGTTTACCTTAATGGTAAAATTAGTTATAGGCTATCCATTTTAATTCTCGTTTACCTTAATGGTAAAATTAGTTAAATCTAGGCTTACTTGTGCCTGGGTCATGTTTAAATAGGTTTTAACCAGAACATGACCTTAATTTGATAGTCAGGACCTTTCAAGTATTACTTAACCGCACTACAACCACCTAGTAACCCTAAATGACTACTGCTTTCCGATTACAAGTGTCATATGTGTGACATATGTGCATGTTAAACAACACTTTACTTGGCGGCTACTTACGTAAAATATCATTATCATCTCTAAGACAAACACAACTCATAATACAACATATAAATAAGATAGCTATATTTACAGCAGTCCCCAACAAACACGGTTACATTATACGATCTACACTATTAAATTACCTTAGTTCCTGGCTAAAACATGCTGATAGACCTACCTTCCTTGCAGGCTGGAAGCTCACTGAACCTTCCTTGCCTAACACCTTGTGACGTCATGCGTTAACTTTGTTTTACCAATATACACATTTGTATACTCATAAAATCAATGTGATATTATCTATATATAAAATATTCACAAATGGAAGTTGATATAATGTTCTCATAAATACAGCATTGTGTTAATGGAATATAATGCTAATAAATTGGCGAATAAGATACATGTATTTTTAAGACACTTGAGTATTTTTATTTATGAAGATTTCTACCAACCGGTGTCTTTTTCAATCCAATACAGAGGTTAGTTGGCATGACAATAATGCAGTCCCATTTCGTGCAGATTTTAACTTTTTCTGGTACTGCTAAACCAATGTATTGCCATATATAATGTGGCAGTTTTCTTGTTTGTGTCTGGTGAAATATACATGTATGTGTGTATTTGCGTGGGTAGGTTAGAGCGCGCATGTGTGTGCTGATTACCATTTGTCAAATGGGAGCTATTTGCGTGTGTGTGTGTGTGTACTCACCTAGTTGTGGTTGCAGGGGTCGATTCACAACTCCTGACCCCGCCTATTCACTGGTCGCTACTAGGTCACTCTTCCAGCTCCATGAACTTTATCGTACCTCTTCTTAAATCTATGTATGGATTCTGCCTCCACTACATCACTTCCCAGACTATTCCACTTCCTGACAACTCTGTGACTGAAGAAATACTTCCTAACATCCCT